TGATATTAATGTCTTGTGAAATACAAAGACTCAAATTTCGTGAATCCTCTTGTCTCTTGCAACTTCGGATGAACAATGACTTCTAAATTCTAACATAGATCAAGCTCTCGCATAAAAAGAACAAAAACTTAAAAGGTAAAAGTATTAGTTCGTGTTCATAATAGATAATGTAAAATACCACGCAAAGAATTAATTAAACACATAAACACTGCTCTGAGTGAAGAAAAACTCAATTATATCACATAACATACAGATAGTTATTACGCATCCTATACAAATATGTGACCCTTTTGTGTCAAGGTTAGGCCTACCGATCTGAAAGATGTATTACGCCATTTGAAAACATTGTCCCCCCAAAACACTTAGTACAAATTTTCTGAATAAATCAAATAGGATTACAAAATAAAGGGGAAAACACAAATAATCAATCTCATGCAGGGGTATCATCTTAAACTAAGCCTTCATGGTCTTTCTTGAACTTCTTGTAATCTTCGAATGCCAACACCATTTGGGTGGGATGGTAGCTTGTAATGATCCTTCTTCGCTAGAGTAAGCTATTAAAATAAACCCTCAACCCGGAGTGACAATGATTTGCCAAATGACGTATAAATCCTTCAATTAAACACAGAAGCATGATTGTCTTTTATTGACCACTAGTCCAACTAGACACAAGGTGGACTTCTAATGGGCCTAACACGCCTTGGATGTTAGGTCAACTTAGTTCAAATGTACTAAATCTGGGATTTGGTTTCGCTCTACGCTAGGTTACTAAGAGTGGCTTTTGAGATACCAGAAACCCAAAAGGACAACTTAGGCTAGAACTCACGAAAACCGTTGGACGCATGACCGATAAATTGTCGATCATTCCATAAAAGGATTGAGTATAAAAAAGTCCGACTGCAGTTACGCAAAACTGTTCTATAATATACTATATACATGTAGGAAATTGACACAAATGCAACAACAATGTACATACAAGAAAATAGATAAAGAATAAACCACAAGTACAATATACAAATAATCAATAAATAATCAACAAAATATACAACATACAAGATATAACACAAAAATGAAAAGCCTCCTCAATTTGAAAAAAATGAACTCATAATGGTTGGAACCTCTATATCCCCAGCAGAGTCGTCATTGTTTTTACATCCCTAATTTATTCAAATAAGGAAAAACGTTGTGGTGACATAAAAAATAATCTATTAAATCAATTTTAAAAGAATTTTTAAAAAAAAGAGTTTTAAATGAGTCGCCACCTAATTTTAGGAAAAGTAGGCTTTGAAAGGGGTTATGGTGTGGTTTCCTTATGCTATGAAGATATATGTTATGCAGGTATGATATGAATTGTTGCTAACAGTGACTTTAGTTTCTACAAGCTATGAACATAAATGTTTCCTTATCTGTGAGTATTAACTATGGTTGAGTTCAAGGTATGATATGCATGATTATGGTGACCTAAAAGTGGTACTTAGAATTAGATAGGATTATGGGATCTTGGCTATGCATTGCACAAGTATAGCTTAGGGGAAATGGTTTGACTTATGTATTTACACTATTGTGCATGATGATTCTTAAAGTTGATAAACAGCATGGCTTCAACTAAATTGTCCCTTTTAGCATGTTTTAAAGGATTTGTATGCATGGCTTCCATACTTAGTGTAATTTTGTGCTAACCCATATTTTCTATATTTTTCTATAAGTGTAGGGCTCGGTTGTTGAGGTGTGCTTTCTTCTTGACTAAAAGCTTGTATAAAAAATATGGGTTAGCACAAATATGTACCAAGTATGATAGCCATGCAAAAACCTATGCTTAAAAGGGACATTTTAGTTGAAAACTATGCATTTAACAAGTTTGAGAATAATCATGCATCTTTAATATAAACACCTAAGACATAAGCATAGCATAATATGAATGGCATCCCATAATACCATTCATACTAAGTACCACTTTGAGGCCACCATAACATACTTACCATCCTTCTTTCTCATATTTAGTCAATAATCATAGATAAGGAACATTCACATTTAATAAGGTATGACAAGAAAAGAAACTCATAATAACAATCCAAGTTATGCATTCTTCATTACCTTAAGCCTTTAAGTCAACATTCTCAGTTAACATCATTATGAACACATTCTTTTCATTAGACATTAAGACATTAGAGAAACATATCATTGCCCTCTAAAAACGTACTCGTGCAATGCATGGATGGAATGTCATACTACCACCCACACTTCATAGAACCTCTTAAGTAACCAAAGCACATAACTCACATGATGGGAATAAGTATTTACCGCTATAGACCGTGAGAAACTCATGGAATTCGGTGTCTATCCCACATCGTAAAGGGTTGGTCTACTTGTCTAAGGTAGGACCGATAATATTTTAGCTTATATGGATCCACTAGCTAATAACCTATATGGGTACATAGTTATGGGATAAGGAAGATGTTCATTGAAACCCGACCTAAACATGGGGAAATCTTCCATTTTACCATATCCACTCGGTGCTAAGCTTTAAATTCCCATAGAGTATATCATTACTTTAACATAATTACACATGAGAGGATGCCATTGGCCTACCGACCCAAGGTACATTGATTCACACATGAAAGGGCACCATAAGCCTACCGATCTAAGGTACATTATTTAACACATGAAAAGGCACCATAAGCCAACCGATTAAAGGTACATTATTTGGAAAGGTCATTGAATCCTCATGAAAGGGTGCCATAAGCCTAGCGATTCAAGGTTTATCATTATCATTCATGGAAGGGTACCATAGGCGTACCGATCCAAAGTTCATCATTATTATACATGGAAGGCTACCATTAGCCTACAAATCCAAGACACATCATTAGAATACTTCATTAATCATTTATGAAAGGTCTACCACCATTAGGTCTATCGATTCAAAGTTCATTAAGTTAAGATACTTTAGGTACAGAAGAAGAGGATGCCCTAAGCCTACCAATTCAAAGTACATCAATCACGATCACTTTCATTTACCCAAGAAGAGGATGCCCTAAGCCTACCAATTCAAGGTATAACATTACATTGAAGAAACCTTTCACAACATATCATCATCATTCACATGTGTATAATTGAGAAAAACCTTTCAATAGTAACACAATTGCATTGTAGTCATGATCACATTACTTTCATTGAAATCACGGAGCATATACATAAGCATTATGATTATACATCAATCTTCATAATTTGCCCTTCAACGCCATGAATCACATTTCACCAACACACCTAGAATACTACAATTTAGGAATTAATAATGAAATAATTCAAGTAAATAAACCATTACAAGATCAATTACATAACATTCATATTACTACAATTCACCCACACCAAAGTCACAAATTAGGGTTATGGGGAAATCATGGATTCATGGGGGATTTTATCTTAAAACCACCATAAAACAGCAATTCAATCTCAATAAATGATAATTATACCTTTGAAAATATTTTGAGAAAGAATCCATGACCAAGAATGAAAACCCTTAGTTTTGGAGAAATTTCAACTTTGAAATTGAAGATTTGAGGACTTCATGGATGCAAAGTTAACCATGAATCAAAACTACCATACCTTAATTCAAGATTCCTCACGAAATTGTGTGGAAAAGTTGAGTCCGTGATCCCTAGATCTTGACCTCTTCTTCTTCTTCAATGGATTTTTAGAGAGATTTATTTGGAGAAGAGTTGGTTACTTATTTTGGGTTTGGGAATTATGAAGTGAAAAAGGGTAGTTAATAATTTAAAAGGTCTTAAATAAGTGAAATAAAACAATATAAAATGACCACTAACTTAACTAACCACCCTAGGAATTTACCACTTTGTCCTTCACTTGGCCTAATTGGGCAGCATCTCAGGACCCATCCACGACCCCCACCTACGGGCCATGGATGGCCCCACGAACCGTACTGGTCAAACATGGGTGGGTTCTGCAGCTTGAAGGGTTGAGGTAAGGTCCAGCCTTGACCCACGACCCCCACCTACGGGGCATGGGTACCCTTTTCGTGGGTTGGCTGCCTTCTGGCAGATTTTGGGTTCTAGGGGATTAGGATTTAGGTTCCTCCTTAAGGACCATTGGTTAGTCCTTGGGAGGTCGTACCTTGACGTTTAACCCCTAAACCACTCAACCTAAGCTCGGGAAAACATTTTACAACTTAAAACTCCACATCAAACTCAACAACTCACTTGTAAGGCTCTAGTTTCACCTACTAGTTTTCCGGGTCATTACATTATCTCCCCCTTGGGAACATCCATCCTCGAATGACACTTTAACCACTTTACGGAAATAATGACTCAAGACTAGCAGCCCATCATGCATGAAACATCATAAAAATGCACCTTTCAAAGGAGAAAACATCAACTCCATCTCTATACACTCAATGCAACACAAGGAAGTAGGAACTACATCTACAAACCCATTATGCATGAAAACTTCAACATTTATCATTTCATTCGAGGAATTACCTTCTCCAACTCAATTAATGCTCATCATTACATCATTAAGCAAATTATGCAATTACTCTCAAAAGAACATTTAAGCATGTTCAACATTTCATCTCATGAAGCATATAGGCAACTCATACTAGATGCACATCAACATGAGGAACATAAATCATAAAAACTCATTTTCTCATTAAACATGAATTCATCAAGAACATGCATATCATAAGGAGACCATGAAAACACATAATCACAAATGATTCCAAAACATTAAACAAGCCATAAAGAACTCTTGGTCTCAAGCTTGAATAGGAATAGAAGGAAGAGATAAGGATATCGGAACTCTCAATAACCTTGCCTTCTAAGCATACCATCTCCCCCTTAGGAGTAAACCCCATACTAAGTCTAACATGAAAATAACATAGAGACCTTAATAAAACATTCACAACTATAAGGAACTATCAACATACTGGTGCCTTCATCCGGAAGGGCTCTTTTGTCCTCTCTAGACCGAAGTGCATAGAAACAACCATAATTTGGAGGAATAGGAACCGTACCATTAGGAGAAGCTTGCTTGGTACCTCTTCCCTTTTCCGAAAGTGTAGGGAAATCTTTCACTTGATGGTCACTCTTTCCACAACCATAACACCTATTTGTACTGGCTAGGCACTTCCCATGGTGCCTCTTTCCACAATAAGAGCAAGTAGGTTTAGGAAATGGAGACCCATTACATTTCTCTTGGTGAACACTAGGAGTGCTTGAAGAATCTTGGTTAAAAGATCGCTTTTTGAACCTTGGTTGACCTTGCTCATTGGACCTAGATCTCTTCATCTCCCTATTCTTTTTCTAAAGTCTACACTCCTCAATTTGTTAGGCATATACCATAAGCCTAGAAATATTCATGTCATCATGGAGGATTATTGTACCGCACTCTTCCTCAACTAAGTCGAACACACCCATCACATATCTACTCATCTCATCCCTCGGATTCGACACCAAAGATGGAGGATACTTAGACAATAGGGTAAATTTCAAAGAATACTCTTGCACACTCATGCTACCTTGCCTAGGTTGATAAAATCTTCCATATTAACTTCCCTCTTCTCACGGGGAAAGAACCTATCAAGAAATGCTTTCTTAAATACCTCCCAATCTATGGGACCCACTCCTACCGGCCTATAACTCTTTCATTGAGTAAACAAAACTTAGGCAACATCCTTCAATTGATAAGCGGCTAGTTCTGCTTTTTCTACCGAAGTCACCCCCATAGCATCAACTACCTTATACACCTCATCCACAAATTCTTGGGGATCTTCTCCCACCTTGGAACCAAGAAACACCGGAGGATTCATCCTCACAAAGTCCCTCAACCTAGAAGTCATTGTGCTCGCATTAGGGTTCACATGAGTCTCAACACCCCTATTGGCTTGGGCCGTCATACCTTGGGATTGAGTAGTTACGGCTTGAGCCATCATTAGAAGAACTGACCTAACTTCTTCATCCGACATAGCCGGAGGGTTAATAGGAACTTGATTTCCTTGAGGAACTTGATTCTCTTGAGGTACTCCGTGATTCACATTCTCCTCTTCCACCCTTCTGGCATTCGCTCTTCGTGTATCCATTTCCTGAAGACATAAGAGAAGGGTTAGGAAAGGGACTTTTATAGAGCTAAACTCTATGGCATGACTTAAGAGTAATGAAGAAAGTGAAATTTCCTAACATCTTATAGCCTCTCATTCATAAATGTGGCGCTTCACACTCATGAACAAGACTCTACTAGACATAGCTTGTGAGACATCAATCCTAAAAACCATCCCAACATCTTATGCTTTGATACCATGTTTGTCACGATCCGAGCCTACACCCCAGACATGACACGGCGTACAAAACTCTGAAAAGTCTCATACAAGCCTCATAGCATATCAAAACATAAGAACATAGGAAATAGCGCAGAATTTAAAACTTTTAATCCATATAATAAAAAAATATTTATTTAAAACAACGGAAGTCTAGACATAGTCTCACATGGCCATCTACTACAATCGAGGTCTCAAAATAGGGTCACAGCCCTTACAATAGGAAATCTGAAAGTCTAATACAATAAAATGAATGAAACAAAAACATAGCACTTGTCCTCAGATCCATAAGGACATACCCTAAGCTTTGAGAATAGACAATCCAAGCTTGAACTAGAAGATATCGCCTCAAATGCCGGAACTTACACTTTGTATAAAAATGTAGAACAAATATAGGTTAGCACAAATATGTACTAAGTATGATAGCCATGCAAAAATCATGCTTAAAAAGGATATTTTAGTTGAAAACTATGCATTTGATAAGTTTGAGAATGATCATGCATCTTTAGTATAAACACCTAAGACATAAGCATATTCATCATGTAAGTCATTAGAATATCATAGAGCCATCATGAAAGTAACCCTAAGTTATACTTGTGCAATGTATGAATGGCATCCCATAATACCATTCAAACTAAGTACCACTTTTAGGATACCATAACATACTTACAATCATTCTAAATTAGAAGAAGTAAAAAATACTAAAATAATAGAGCTAGAAAAAGATGATAGATAAGGAACTATAGATAAGGAACATTCACATTTAATAAGGCATGACAAAGAAAGCAACTCATAATAACAATCAAAGTTAAGAATTCTTCATTACCTTAAACCTTTAAGTCACCATTCTCATTTAACATCATTATGAACACATTCTTTTCATTAGACATTAAGACATTAGAGAAACATACCATAGCCCCTCTCAAAATGTCATGACCAAGGGGTACCCCTAGATGTAACATGGCGTACTTGACCTCGAAGGGGTCTCATACAAGACCTTAGCATATCACAACATAACATAATAGAAAAGTACGGGAAAATTTAAAACTTAATTACAATCGAAGTAATTTTCATAAAATCAAGCGGAAGCCTTTCTATACTTTGTCTCAAACCATCTAATAAAACTTTAGAATAAAACTCTTGGGACACAGCCCATACAATAGTCTCAAAAACATGAAATAAAGACATAAAGGAAATGATGTGTTTTGTCCTCGAATCTATGAGGACTCACCAAGATCTTCAACTCCTTAGCTAGAAACCTAGCTTCAAGATAGCACTCAAGTCTCCAAACCCTACATTTGATTAGAATTTAGACAAAGTATGTATTAGTACAAAATGTACTAAATATGTTATCTAGCATAATCATAAGAGCATAAGACAAGGGTTAGTCAATATGAGTCATAATCCAAAATCATATGAAATACTACATGAGGAATCAATAATAAGCACAATCATAAGAGCATAAGACAAGGGTTAGTCAATATAAGTCATAATCCAAAATCATATGAAATACTACATGAGGAATCAATAATAAGCATAAGAGACAATAACATCATAATAAGCAAATTCTCCAACATAAGCATCATATAAGCAGTATTTGACTCTTAGTTATCTATACCATAATAGAACTACTCTCAAATAACCTAAAAGCATACATCTGCAATGCATGAATATATAATAGAACTACTCTCAAGTAACCTAAAAGCATACATCTGCAATGCATGAATATCATCCCATAAAACCATCCAAGCCAAGTATCCCTTTTTGGTCATCTTAATCGTAGCCTATATGCATGGTAAGTCTTAAGCTATTCTACACTAAGGGCACCATACTCCTAAGTAACCTCAAAGCACACTTGTGCAATGCATGAAATGGATCCCATACTACCTTTCACACTAAGCATAACCTTGAAGTCATCATAGTCATATTTAACCTAATTTGGTCTCATTATTAGCTTACTTCATGTAGACAAGGGAACTATCACCTTCAGTCAATCATATCATGTCAAGGAAGGCAACTATACCCCAATCCTATCTAAGCATACATCATATAAGAGAAAACATCTCATGAGTCACCTCAAGGCAAACTTGTGCCATGCATGAACAAGACCCCATAATCCTACCCATGCTAAGCTAGACACTTTAGGTTCATCATTCATGTTCATCATCTCTTAACATCATAAAGACAAGGGAAGTCTCATCTAGTCATGCATGTATTGGAGAGGCCTCTAAAGCTACAATCCAAACTAATCATGCTCATGTTCATAAATGCAAGGGGGAGTCACCTCAAGGAATAAATGTTTAGATCATCATGAAAGATAAAGGGAGTCACCTCAAGCCACACATATCATTGAATCATAAAAACAAGGGTATTCACCTCTAGTCCCACATGCTAATGAATTATAAGGGTAAGGGGAGTCTCCACAATTCATACAAGTTAATGAATCATAGGTATTCACCTCTATGTCCATTTTAATGTGATATAGGTATTCACCTCTAAATCAATTTTAATGTGTAATATAGGTATTCACCTCCACATCATCACATAAGGATCATAGGTAATTGCCTCCATGATCAACCTATAGGATAATGGGTATTCACTGCTTGCCTTGGAAGTCACACATATACAAAGGGTAATCACCTCACACTCCCCATAACTAATTAATTAGGAGCAAGGGAAGTCACCACACATTCCTATCATGTAAAGTTCATTTAGGGGAATCACCACAAACCTCATCACATTTTATTGTATTAGGACTTAGATTCATTTTAGGTGAGAAAACGTTTCAACCTAGAATCATTCTATGTGAGATAACCTTTCATGTCATGCTATATTCATGCATAATACCATGTCTAGAATTCTACATTAGACATTGGTATCCTCATAATTCAAGTGAATCTATCACTTCACATATTCAAGCATTTATTAGGTAGATTATGTAGGTAAATATCTTCCACCATAACTCTATCCATTTAAGCTTATATTCTCATTTAGACTTAACTCTCAAAGCCTTAGCACATCTAGATCATCACATTGGTTTTACTCTCAAAATCCTAATGATCAACATTTACGGCTACCAGCCTTATACTTAAAGCTTTACTTCTTATTATTATCATTCATACCCAAATTCAAGGTATTCTAATCATATTCTTCATTAGTAGAAGATTCTAGTGATAATTGATCATAAAGGTTCAATTTCATCTTTACAAGTTATGATCCTTCATATTCAATAAAGTGTAGTTCAATTCATGATTATATATTCCTAAACTTGAACAATTACTACACATGACATTGATGTAAGAAGGTCACATATGAACCTTCAATTTCACCTCTAAATTGCATAAACCCACAAAATATCACATTCATCAAGTAGACTAGGGTTTACCATGGAAATCACATAAATTCATCATAATATCACAATTCAATGTTAATACAATCATAATTGGGTATTATCCACTAGGTTGGAATCATACCTAAGCCCTACCCATAATGTAGAAGGAAACCCTAGCTAGAATTGGGTTTTTAACTTCACCATGGGAGAAAACCTAAGGGGCTCTATCGGTTGAAGAACCCATAGATGAATAAGCCAACATACCTCAATTCATAGCCCTAATCAAGCTTGAAACAATGGAGGAAAATCTTCCCCTCTTCCTTCTCTTCTTCTTCTTCTTCTTCTTCTTCTTCACTTCTAGAGAGAATTATTTTGGAGAGAATTTTGGGGTTCTTTGATGAATGAGTTAATGACCTAG